GGCGGCACGTTGAAACGTGGTGCAGGGCACTGGTGGAAGGAAGTGGGTGGTAATGATCATGAGGAGTGTGAAAGGGTCGTTGCTCGTCTTGGCGGATGCTCACAGCTAGTGTTGAACGTCTTGCCCCAAGAGAGTAAGTTCGTTGAGTATGCACGTAGAGGTACACATAGCTCATGCCATGTGGGAGCCTCGAAGAGAGAACGGTCTATGCGTGCGCAGTAGGGAAGCCAGCTTGAGCGCGGAAAGAGATGGCACATGTTGTACTCATTGTGCACTCAAGATTTGCGGGGCTGGAGGTTACAGTCCATGTCGGCTGCGATAAGGCTGATGGAGAGGTATGGTGTCGTCATTGACGCTGCCGAGGATCGCGAGATGGGGTCAGATTATTTACGCTTCGCGTGTCCCCCAAAGTCAGTCCAGTGACCAATATTCCTTCGCTTGCAGGAAAATTGTGACCTTATACTCTTGGCTCTGTGGGATTGAGACAAGGTTCGCCTCCTCCTTCGTTTTCTCCCCCCTCCTATGCATGAGGTTCCAAAGCAAGCTGGACAACATTTCGCTCAGAGTATAATGTGGGCGCAGGTCCTTTATGCAAATGTGGTCTGAGACGACAGAGGGTAGGAGCAGTAGGAGGAGCAGGAGGGTAACCAGAAACCAGAACAAGCTCATGAGTATGGTCGTCGAGTAATTTCCGTGAGGGCCGGAGTTGAAGCGCGCTCCAGAGTGTTGCTTGTCTCCGTTGTCCTGTACAATAAGGACATCGACAGATATCCGCATCTTCCATGAAGGCACGGCATCAAGAAGCATCGGATGCCCGCGGGATGTGCCACCTGCCCGACCCGAGTTCATCCATCAGTTCTTGGAACGGCATCTTAACGTCTAGGGAGATGGGCCCTGTTACCATGCTGGGCGGCCCTGTTACCATGCGGGGCTTTTCTCTCGAGACGCACCACTGTTCTTAGCGGCTTCAGAGCTCGGCCTACAGTGGGGGCCCATGCCAAGAACCACCCTGCTCGCCTCCAGGGTGCCCTGGGTCTCTGGGTTCTCGATGCTTTTGCGATGAAAAGCCTGACGCTTCCGCACCAGAATTCAATGGACGTCCTGGGGTCTCAGGGTTGAGATTCTCGTTGCAGGTTTCCTGTGGTCGTGCCGCCACTGCATTGGGGCTTTGCAGGTCTCATAAGGCATCCCGTGCAGGCTCGTCCCGTCCTGCCCCCCCGCCCTACCTGCCCCGAACAAGTGTGATAAAAAAGCACGGGTGATATAAAAACACATGTGATCCGAACAAGTGTGATGATAAAAAAGCAAGTCTGACAAACTTGCATTTTTTATCACGCTTGGTTCCTTTATCACACCTTTTCGGAGTTGTTTTGTCCCACTTGCTTTTTGTCACGCCGTTTTTATCACGCTTGTCCCGTGCAGGCTCGTCCCGTCCTGCCCCCCCGCCCCACCTGCCCTGGGGCCCTGGCCCCGGGACGCCCCGGGATGGCGTGGCGCCCACGGCAGACGATCGAAGGATGCCGAGCCCGTGCGGAGCAAGCCCGCACGAAGTGATCGGTCCGTCCGTCGGCGGCGTTTTCGTCGGTCCTTCGCGGCTTCCCGGCCTCGGGACGCGGCCCAACAGGTGCCCCTCGCCGAGAGCATTTTTGGGGGTGCCCGGACCGGCCCCAGCGGCCGCCGGAGACCCGAGCTGGGACCCGAAGGCCAAGCTCGGCGGCGAGCCCCGGGGGGAAGCGAAGAGGGGCGGGCCTTCTCAGAAGGCTCGGAGGCCCCCGCGGCCTTCTGAGAAGTTCTCTGAGCCTTCCCGGAAGACGCACGACAAAAGCTTCTCTGAAGGCCGGGGAGGGGGCTTCTGAGAAGCCCCGCCGCCCTCTGAGAAGGCCTTCTCCTTCCCATTTCCCCCCCTCGCTCGCCGCCGAGTCTGGGCCTACTCCGTCTGGACTTGGCCTCTCCTGATCGGGTGCCGAGTCCGTGCGGGGCAGGTCCGCACGGAGTGCTCGGACTCCGTCTGGGGGGCTTTTTTTATGCCCAGGCGACGGCGGGCGACACGGAGGCGGGGGGAGGGGTGCGGGGAGCCGGTGACGTGACGTTTCGCGCCGGCGCCGGCTGGGAATGCCTGCGAATACCCAGCAAGCGCCCTGGAGGTCAGCCGAATCGTGCAGTTGCCTGGGGACGGGGGGGGCGTGCGGCCAGGGCCTGCAGCGGGCGTCACCGCGGAGCACAAAGACGCTCTCCTGGGCAGAGGGTCGAGTCGCACGGTGGGGATGAGCGGCTTTCCAAGGCTACCCCTGCATCCTTCCCCTTCGGCCCATCCCTGGCAGCTCTCGCTGGCCAACCCCGACCGAACGGCGTCGACGTGGCCTTCCGAGGCCCTTCTGCACCCTTAGGGTGGGGGCGCTCGCTGAGGAATGTGCCTAGGAGGCTTCAGACCCTGGAGGCTTCCTTTGGGGGGCCACATGCGAACCCTACCCCTACCCCTACCCCCCACGATTTCTGAGGGGTAGGGGCAGGGTTCGCGTGTGGCCCCCCTATCCTTATCCAATGAGGGCGGCGGGGACACCCGTGGCCACTCCACGATGGGAGTTCCGCGGGCTGCCGGACCCTGGACTCCCTGTCCAGCGGCTCCTTCTCCCATGCCTCCGCCGCGTCGTGCGCCCTGCCCGTGAGGGGCCCTCTGTGCACCCGGGGGGGGGGCCTCCTCGGAGAGCCCAGCGGGCACCTCGAGCCAGGGGGCACTCGTGGCCACGCCCGGAAAGCGCGGCCCTTCGCCCGAGGGGCCTCTGCTGCGCGCCCGCTGGGGCCCTTCGATCGCTGAGCGCCGTGCAGCAGCAGCGGCCTGCGCGCTCGCCGCCGCCTCCCTCCCCTCCGCCCCACCGTCCCCCCCCTGACGCCGAGCACCAGCTGTCACTCTTGCCCAGGGCCACTCCTGCGTGCAGCTGATGTTGGGGCAGGGCCAGGCCCTCAGAGGCGGCCCGATCCTCGCAGGCCTTCCCCCAGGAGGGCGTTCTGCTGCTGCTGAAGAGGCCACGCCTGTCTGGACGCTGTCAGGGCTCGCCCATCTTTTCAGAGCCGCTTCACGCGGGGTGCCGTGCCCCGCTTCTTTTCCCGACGTATCTGTAGGATCCCGTGCGCAGCGCAGCTCGTTTCACCCTCGTCCTACCTCGCCCTGCCGTGGACAGCCTGCCCGCGCTGGCACCTTGAAAAGTGCAGACCCGCATGAGTGTGGCGCGTGCGTGCATCTCTTGCATTGCTCCAGCGAAACGCCTTACCCGATACACCTCACCCTCCCAAGGGGGGAGCGGCATCGGTGCCTTGTTGCTTCCCCGGTTCACGTCCCAGACCGGAGCGGCCCGTGCCAATCCTCCACGCGTGCAGGCTGGGGTGGGAGGGTGAGGACCTGGGCCCCGCGCGGCACAGGGAGCCAGGCTTCTGCGGCACCCTCTTCCTCTCGCGGGCCCCTCTGTTGCTTTCGGCCCCCCTCCCACCTGACTCGGTGCCCCGATCCCTCGACTGATCCGTGTCCTCTCGCTCTGGGTACTGTTAGTCCGCTCGCGCCCTGGAGCCTAGATCGGGCGCCCGCCCCGTCCCCATCGTCCGTTGCTCCTCCTGCCCAATCCCGCTTGTTACATGTGCCGCCCCAGGAACCGGCTAACGCTTGCATGCTCTTGTGGCCAAAGCCGTCTAGGGGGCTCATTCAGTCCAGGGTGGGATTGCCGAGCGGTGTTGTTAAAGGCGTTGTCGGCTGCACTTCTTCTGTCGGCCATTCTCTCACCGAGATGCTGTGCCACTTTCTCCGCGCTATGCCTATGTTTGCCAGCTATTTTTGGGGGCCAGTTGTCCATCAGGGTCTCCGGAGGTCGCCTTCAGCGTCTCAAAGTCGGGCTTATGGCCTGGGCAAGATGCTTTGATGTGTGGTTTTTCGTGTTTTGTTTGTTCGTTGTTTCTTCTTGTATTTGTCCCATTTCCGGCTGCGACAGGAGGACAGGATCGCGAGCCTAGAGGAGTCGCGGCAGCTCGAGGCCCTTGTAATGAAGATGCCCCAGGACAGCAAGAGCGAGTTCGAGAAATTTTTCTTGGAGCTGCAGGTGTGTGGGCGTGTCCGCTACGTGCTTCGCACGAGAGGCAGTGCGGTCGAGTTTGATCAGGGGGGTGTTCCTGCCAAATCAAGGGTACCTTTTGTGTCCTGTGTTTAGCGACCCATGCCTTTACGCTCCTATGGCAACGTGGCCCTCGGAAGGGTCTCGTGTCCTCGCCCGTGCCCTCTCCAGTCGAGCCTCACCGCACGGCAGGCGCGCCAATAAGAAAACAGGCCTGCCAGCAGGTGCCCCACCGAAAACTCTCATCTCCGGCTGGCCCCGTGGACCCACAGAAGCTCTGGGGCACCCTCGAGCTCTCGAAGATCGGCGAAGCATTTGACCCAAGATCTCATGCGGCAAGGCTTCCCTATCTTGTGCGCCTAGCGTCAAGTCGGGCCTGTCTCTCTACAGGAGGGAAATTCAAACAATAGTCAAACATAGTATGCGCACGACTTTTCGACAATTTTTGCGTCTTGCCTTTTTTAAAACATATGTATGTATGTATGCATGTATGCATGTATGTATGTATGTATGCATGCATGCATGCATGTATGTATGTATGTATGTATGTATGTATGTATGTATGTATGTATGTATGCATGCATGCATGCATGCATGCATGCATGTAAATATGTATGTATGCATGCATGCGTGCATGTATGTATGTATGTATGTATGTCTGTCTGTATGTATGTATGTATGTATGCATGTATGTATGTATGTATGTATGTATGTATATATGTATGTATGTATGTATGTATGTATGCATGCATGCATTTATGCATGCATGCATGCACGCACGCATGCGTGCATGCATGCATGCATGTATGTATGTATGTATGTATGTATGGATGCATGCATGCATGTATGTATGTATGCATGTATGCATGTATGCATGTATGCATGTATGCATGTATGTATGTATGTATGTATGTATGTATGTATGTATGTATGTATGTATGTATGTATGTATGCATGTATGTATGTATGTATGTATGTATGGATGCATGTATGTATGTATGTATGTATGTATGTATGTATGTATGCCTGACCTAAGCCTAGCGTCCGTTCTCAATCTGGACGCTTCCGCGCTCGGGCCGGCGGCTGCACCCGTGGCGAGCAGCTTTCTGCGATCGGCTACGCCCACGCGGCTGGCTCGCTCTTCGCTCCGTACGGGGCCCATCGCTGCAAGCCCTCTTGGTCCTCTCAGTTTTTGGGGTATCGGGGGTGGACAGAACCCCCACCCTGACGCGTCGATCAGTGAATTGCCCGTTTTCGGTTCTCGAGAGGGCGCCGCGGCCGTCCTGTTCCGGGCTTGCGCCCGCCAGGTTTGGTCCCGAGGTCGTTTTCACTGAACCATCCCCGATTGTGTACCACACCCTCCCCAACCCCAGTCAGATTACACCCCAGGGGCCACGTTCAGTATACAAAAACCGTGCCGCAGGGAGGGAGTTTTTGTATACCAAACCCACGACCAGGACCCTCGCCCACCGAGCACGGGTTCTTGGGTACAGTATACAAACTTTTCGGGCGGATCTTGGGCACTCGAGCCATGCAGTGCAACTTGTGCATCCCTGCGACCACCAGGGAACCTTATCCTTGCGGGCTCCATGGACGGGGGGGGGGTATCGGACACCCCTGCCGGGCGCGCTCACCTGGCTGCAGAGATGTTCCACATTCTGAGCCCATCCAGTTGTTTTAGATAGCGGACGTTCAGGGGTAGGGCTCACTTGTGGTTGCCTATATCGTCTTTGTGCTCATCAGGACCATCCGCCCGTCTTCACTTACTCCTGATCCTCTTCGTACTGAGCCTGCACAGCGGTGGTCTCGCCGCTTGATGCCCACTGCCCATGCTCCTCTTCCGCTTGTCCTGCTGTTGCTGCTGCTGCTGCTGCTGCTGCTGCTGCTGCTGCTCCTCATTCCCCCTCTTCCCAGGTCCTCGTCTCCTTGGCCACGAGGGTGAGACGCGCCCTGGATTTAGCCAGACCTGCTGACGTGGAGGACGTCCTTCGCGAAGCCGAAAACACGGGCATCTCCCCGTACATCATGCGCATGGCTGTTGTGCAGGCAGTGGGCAGCAGAGGGCAGCACGTGAAAGGAGAGACATGGGATCAGCTTGCATCAGCGTCGCTGGAGGAGGGGAAGAGGTGAAGAAGAGGAGGAGGAGGAGGAGGAGGAGGAGGAGGAGGAGGAGGAGGAGGAGAAGGAGGAAGGGGAGGAGGAGGAGGAGGAGGAGTGCGAGGGATGGGGGTGCACGTCGCGACATGGTCTTCGTCAACTGCTCCTCGGAGGCACTTAGGAGCGCTAGCGCTGATCTCTTGCTGCACGCGCTTTGGGGCCTTCGGGCGGGTGTGGCTCCGGCGGGTGTCGATTTTTCCTCTTCTCTGGGGGTAGAGCAGGGCGTTGAGGCCAGAGCGCTGGAGTTGCTGGTCAAGCTTTCTACCCTCGGGTTCTTTTGTGGGCGGTAAATCGCCTTGGTTTCTAGAGCCGGCAAGAACCGATCGCGCGTTTCCTTATTGCTAAGGCTTTACGGCCGGTGCCGCCGACCCCGGAGGCCTCGGCCCTCGACGGACATGGGAGGGAGGGGGCGCTCCCGACACGCCCCGGGAGGGTGGTATTTTGACCCGGGGCCACCCCTCGGGACCCCCCCGTGGGGCCCCTCCCCGGGACACCCCCCCAGGAAACGATCGAGCGTTTCCTTGGTTGTAGTATGGCCAGGCCCCAGGCTGCCCCCCCAACAACGGTGTCTTCGTCGGGGCGACACGCGCCAGATCCAAGTCAATGCCAGAAGATGCCTCCCGTGCAGTCCAAAAAGAGCCCAAGCTCCAATGGCGTTGCCGGTGAGAAAGGCTACCGTCCGGGAATGTTTTGAAGTGTTTTGGCAGGAAGTATCGCAAATGAGGAATTTGCTTGCGGCGTCGGGTCGCCCGCCAGATGGGCATGGCTTTCTCGGTTTGGTCGTCGCGGTGCGCTTGTGCATTCTAGGCATGGATTTGCAGTTGTGGTGGTGCGCAAGCGTGGCCCTGCTCACCTCGCCAAGGGGATACGGGGTCTGGGGAATCCTATCCGGAGGCTCTGTGGCAGAATTGTCGGCCATGCGAATGCGTCGTAGGAGCTTTCGGACGGCGGGCATGAAAATGCGTGATACCCTACCTGAGGGGGAGAAATTACCATGTCGATAAGCCGTGCAATTGCTGCCTTTTTCGTGATTCGCGAATCCTGAGGGCAACGCTATGTGACCCGCCTGGTGAACGCCCGACGTGTGGTGGATAGAAGGTGATTGACCGCCATGCCTCACATGTTGCGGCATCTTTGCCCAAACAGTTGTTGCACGTATAGATCCTCACTTGTTTTCGAAGGAACTGATACGAGAGCCCGAGGGTAAATGTCTAGGCCACATGTTGCAGCCACTGGCTGCGCTATATATGATCCCAGGCTCCAGGCCCACGGGCCCCCCCCCCCGCCCAGATGGGATGGGTCTCAGGGTCCTTCGGTCCCCCGCCTCCCCCAGATCGGATGGGGGGGGACGACGACGACGACGATGACGACGACGATGATAACGATGAAGAAGGTACCGTCCGCGCGGGCTCCCTGAAGCACCGCAACACCACGCCACGCCCAGAGGGAGGCGACGACGGGGAAGACACCGTCGACGACGATGTTGCTTCTCCACCCTTCCTCTCCCACCACCGCACGCCCACAGGGGAAGACCCCACCACGCCACGCCTACAGGGGGGAGGGCTATCGCGCGGGGGGTGGGGCGGGGGCCCGACAGCATCAGCATGAGGGGGGGGTTGGTGGCTTGGACCCAGGATCATATACTGTGCATGAGGGCCCACCCTCATGCACAGTATATGAAAAACATATCATTATATATAAAATATACTGTGCATGAGGCCCCACGATATGTTCGTGGCCTTTGGTTGGCCCCTGTGATGCCATAGGCTGCGCATGGCGGCCCAGCATTTTGTTTTGCCACCGGATGCTCCCATTGGTTGCCCCAGAGTTTGCCCCAGTAGGTTGTGCCATGGGTGGTGCATGATGGCCCACGAATTCTTGGTGGTCGTAGGGCGTTGCGCCTCGCATTTCATTGCATTGCAATGCGTTGCTTTGGTTTTATCTGATTCGCACCGATTTGTATTGTATTGCTATGCAACGATTTGCACTGCGCCGCAGTGCATTGCTCTTCATTGCTTTGCGCTGCGTTGCATCTAGTTGCGTGGAAATGTTACGCACCATGCAGGTTGCACATCTTCATTATTTCAAGTCCTCGCTGGACTCGTCGCTTTCTCTGTCTACATGGGGCGGAGTATGTCGCGGGTCGGGTGACACGACAATCAGATGCAATTTAGGAGCGCACGGTGCATCGCTCTATCACCGTGTGGCTGGCGAGCTGACGTGCGATCGAGTATTGTCTTCAGCTCTTCATCGACTTGTACGCGTGTATGCCAGACGTTCACATTACTTGCAGCGTGGAGCACAATTGATTTGCCACGTGTTGTGTTCTCTACGCTCTTCCTGTATTCCACACAATCGGCTTCAGTCTGCGTCCAAGGCGGCCCAAGGTGGCCCCAAGCCGGTCCTATATGATTTTACAGCGTCAAGACGGCCCAAATGTGAGCTTCAAGGACACCAAAGATGCCAACACGTTTCAACAACCTGAGGTTTAGGAAACTGGCCTGCCCGCGTTTTCGGTTTGACACGGCTCCACGCAGATTCGTCCATGTACCGGTGGCCTTTTCTTTCAGCCGATTCCAGCCCGTGCGCTTCTTTCCACGCTGTGCGCGATATGTGCGTTTTCTACGCGCATTCACGGACGTTTGTGGCGCAGTCTACGAGGATTCCACACACATTTACATTTTCCGCCTTCTCTCCCTCCCCTCGTTGCATCATCTTCTCTCCCCCCTTCCAGGCTGGTGCTGAAGTCTCTTCCCTGAAGATGCAGCAGAAGCAATGGGCCAAGGATGGCAGTCAGGTTGGAAGCCATACGCTGGATTTGTGTGCGTGCTCGTGTGTAGAGGATAAGGGCGGCGAGCGAGGATGACGAGCCGGAGGGGTATGGAGAGGAGGGAGTCGAGGCGAAATTTACTTTAACCTGGAGGGTCCTTCATTTGCCAACCCGCCCTGGGTTGGGTTCTGGTTTTGAATAGAGCACTGGGTCTCCAAGACCTCACGTCCCCGCCTCTCTCCTCTCGCCTGCCTGCCGTGCCTGCCAGCATGCCCCCTGCCTCGCTGTCCTGCCTGGGGGCTCGCTGGGGGGATGCGAAGTGTGAAACTGTCGCCTCTTTTGGAGGGCTGCTCGGGCGGGGGTCAGCGCAGTGCGGGACATCGCAGATCCAAACGGGACCTCGCCATGCCTGGAAGGCTGCGAAATGTGAAATTGTCTTCGCTTTGGAGGGCTAGTGGGGAGGGAGGCACAGTGCGGGATATTGCAGATCTGAACGGGACCTCGCCATCCCTCGCGGGCTGCGAAGTGTGAAATTGTCGCCACTTTCGAGGGCTGCCGGGGGTGGCAGCACGGCGCGGGACATCGCAGATCCACGCGGGACCTCGCCATCGCTGGGCGGCCGCGAAGCGTGAAACTGTCGCCACTTTCGAGGGCTGCTGGGGGACACCGTAGATTCAAACGGGACCTCGCCATGCCCGGGGGGGCTGCGAAGTGTGAAACTGTCGCCAGTCCAGTTTCGATGACCGTTGGGGTGGGTGGGTGGGGCAACACGGTGCGGGACATCGCAGATCCCAACAGGACCTCGCCATGCCCGGGGGGCCGCGGAGTGTGAAACCGTCGCCAATTCCGAGGGCTGCTGGGGGGGTGGGGTGGGCAACACAGCGCGGGACGTCGCAGGTCCAAGCGGGGATCTCGCCATCCGTTAGGAGGCTGCGAAGTGGGAAACGGTCGCACGATCGTCGGGGCACCTTCTACTCTTCCCCTGCTGCCGATGGGTTGGGTACATCGAAAGGTACTCCAGATTTCGTAATAAAAGGGAGGGGGTCTGGACCCTCCAAGACAAGCCATTTCAGACCTCCCCCGTGGGAGAACTCTCCAAAACATCGCCCCCAGACCCCCCAGGCCCTCCAAGATAGCCTGGAAGAGACCCCCCCCGAAATGAGACCCCCCTCCCTTTGTTACGAAATCTGGAGTAATGTTGACAAGGTCGGGCGCGAACCCTTGCGGACGTGGACACGGCGGCTGCTCGTGGCCTCCCGTGTGGTCTCCCGCGTGTGGCCCTCCCGCACGGTCTCTCCCGCACGGTCTCCCGCATGGTTTCCCCCGTGTGGCCTCCCGCGTGGCCTCCCGCGTGGCCTCCCGCGTGGCCTGCCGCACAGCCTCCCGCGTGGCCTCCCGTGCACTCCCCGATGTGATGTTCCGCACGGCCTCCCGCACGGTCTCTGGTATGCAGTCTTCATTCGTGGGTCCTGTTGCTCATGGTCTGCCGGCGCCGGGCTGTAGTTCTCCCCGGCCTCCTCGTTCTGGATCGAGCGCTGTCGCCGCTCTCCTTCTCCTTCCTCCTCCCGCCTCCTCTCCCCCACCCCTCCTGCCTCCTACCTCCTACTCGTGCTCTACTAGGCACCGGCCTCTCTCTTTCTCTTCTGCCATGCTCATTCTCCGCTCTTCGGTTTAGCCGAAGAAGTGTGGCATGCTGTGGATGAGTGCAGATCGTCCCCATACCAGCGTTGTGCGAGCGACCTCCTACCAGCCTCCCGCCACGGCGCAACTGCCGCCATCTTTGTCAGCCTGTGGAGGTTCCAGCGGAGCGCGGTCCTACCCGAGTTGCAGCGAGACGTCGTTGCTCTGGAGGCGTGGGTCCGTGGTTTTCGGGGGAGGTCGTGGCGCTGGGAGTCCCTGGGCGCGCGCCCCGCAGCGCAGGGCGATCCAATCGAGCTTTCAACCTTGGGGTGCCTGCGCTTGAGTTCGGCTGGTTTCTTTTGTGATCGGTTGCTCAATTGGTCTTTGAGGCCTCGGCTGCCAGCTGACAGGGAATCCTGGCTTACAGAGCCTGGTTGCTCCGCTAGGAGAGCAGCGGACATTGGGACCTTCCTAGCAGCCGAGGACATGGCCGTGAAGATGGGCCATAACGTCCGTAGTCAGGAAGATGCGATGGTGGTGAAGAAGAAGCTCTTGTGGGGCAGGGAGGGCGGTGTGGACCAGATTGTTGCACTCGTTCTCGGCAGCTATTGGTGCTCCCTTTCAGTGCGAATGCGCCTGGTCCGTGTCTGCAATCTCTATGAGGCCCAGGACACCAGGGCCGACTCATACTTTCATGTTTGGGAGTAGTTTTTCCTTTCCATGCCGCTCACTACCCTGAAACCGACTGCAGACGCTGCCGCAGCAGAAATCATAACCCAAGCATGCAAGCTCCAGCAGGAGTAAATGCGCTCGTTTCTTGACTGGCATTTGACGGAAGCCGCTTCGCCGTTATCCATCGGGAGCCTCGAGACGGGGGTCAGTGCAGACGGGGGTCAGCCAGGGCGCCGGATCCTGCAGGATCCTGCGAAGACCCCCTCTGGCTGACCCGGGTTAGCGAGCCGCTCGTGGCCGCGAGGCGGCCGCGCCTATTGGCTGACCCGGGTTTGCGAAGACCTGCGTTGCAGTTTTTTTTCCCGCATTGCAGTTTCTGGTTTCCTGCTGACCCGGGTCTGGATTGACCCGGGTCAGAAGATCCCCGAGTCCACTGCTTCCAACAGGAACGCGCAGCACTCATCCTGCGTGCAGTCGGTCTCGGCTCCGCCGCCGGGCGCGTCCCTCGGTGCATTGGCGCCTCTGGCGCTGGGAGGCGCCGGAGAAAGCAGCGGCGCGGGCTGCTTCGCTGACCCCCCGTGTGCAGTCGGCCCGGATGGGTGGGTCGACCCTGCCAGGGCAGGGGTACCTTCGTGTCCCGTGTTTCGCGACCCGTGCCTCCTGCATTCCTATGGCAGTGTGACCCTCGGAGGGGTCTTTTGTCCTCTCGCGTGTCCTGTCCGATGAAGTCCGACTGTACTACCCGACGAGCCATGGTCTCCGCATGACATCGTTTTTTGAGCTGCAGGCGCCGCCTCGGATGGGGGCGAGGAGGCCGATCGGGGCCGTGAGGAGTGTGCTCCTGACCCCCCCAGCTTCTCGAGCTCGCCTCGAGATCGTGCGGGTATCCTTTCGAAGTGTCAGCAGGGAGCTGCCACGCGCTTCGGTCGGGCCGAACGAAAGGGGGGGATAGGGAAAGGGGGGGTTACGAAATCTGCTGCGTGCAGGTGGTTTCAGCCCCACGGGCCGCGCTCCACGCCCTCTTTCGGCGACGACGTGCCGCCCCCCTCTCCCGCTCCTCCTCCCCCCCTCCTTGCTCTCCTGGGCAGGGGCCGGCGGGCCAGTGCAGCGTCTGCGCGCGGCGCCAAGGGGGAGCCGCGGCTGGGGCCTCTTGTGGGGGCCTCTTGGGGGCCTCTTGGGGCCCCTTAGGGGGCCTCTTGGGGCCTCCCGGGGGCCTCTTGGGGCGTGGTCCCCTTCTTGGGCCCCTCTTGGGGCCCTCTTGGGCTGTCTTGCGGTCCTTTTGGGCCGTCTTGGGGCCCTCTTGGGGCGTCTTGGGGCCTTTTGGCGGTCGTGGAGGCCTCGGCCATTTTTGGCGTCTTGGGGCGACGTTTTGGCGACTCGGGGCCCTGTCGGATCGTCTGGGAGTCCTCTTGGGGCCCTCGTGGCCCGTTTTGAGGCCCTCGATCCCCGGCTGGCCCGGATAGACCCCCCCGCCTCAAGACTCCAGATCCAGATCCTGGGGGGGGAGGGGTTTGGGGAGGGGGAAAACAGCTCACACGCCGATGGCACCCCAAGGGGTCGGCGGATTTCCCAGGGTTTCGTCTTGTCTCGTCCGGTCGCGTGTATCGACGAAGAAAAAACGCCATACCGCGCGCCAGGGGGGGTTTCCAGCGCGGATCCAAGATATCTGCGCGGAGCGCGAAAAGTTCGTCTTCATGGCGTTTTCTTTAGTGGCGTGTAGGACCCGACGAGGCAGCGCGGTGATCTCCGCACCCACCGGCCTTCAGGGCTCGAGTGGCCGCCGTCTCTTCCGTCTGGCGGCCCCCAGCCCGCGGGGCGCGACACATCGTGACGGGTGGTGCCTCGGTGGGGATGCGGGGTGGCCCAGCACGGGTTTGGGACCTGGGGGTGGTTTTCCAAGGAGGTCTCGGGTTAAGTCGGGCCTGTCCCTCTACAGGAGGAAAATTCAAGAATAGTGACAAAGTAGTCTGGGGACGATTTCTTTATCATTTTTGGAACATGTTTGAGCATTGCTTGGCAATTCTGGAATAATCCGCTTGTAGGAGGACATGTCCGACCTACGTCTCAGGCGGCGAGGGCCTCCCCGATCCCGGAGCTGTGCGGCGACGAACAGGGCGCCGAGGTCTCTTTGAGTCCCCGCGCGGTCCGTCGCCGCATCGTTTCGGGACCCCCGGTGCTTCCGCTCAGCGTCCTCCTCCCTCCTCTCTGGCTCGTCCCTCAGACGAGGAAAAGGAACCCATACCTCTACCCTTCGGCCGTTTTCTCCCTTTTTGGGCCTCCTCGGAGGATCTCGTCGCAGCCGCTAGATTCGCCTCGAAATTCTGGTCAGAACGCACCCCAGGAGAGGTCCGGGGAGTAGCGGTATCGGTACAATTTGGTTTCTCCAGCCTTTCGAGACTTCGTATCAGGTCGGGCATGTGCTCCTACAGGCGGATTTTGTGCGGAAAACAACACAAAAGGTCAAGGAATGTTCACACATGTTCCAAAAATGGTCGAAACATCGCCCCCAGACTATTTTCTGACTGTTCTTGAATCTTCTTCCTGCAGAGGGACCAGCCCGACTTAGACTTCTCGTGCCTCCGTCGGCAGCACACGGAGCTGCCGTGTGTCCGATCCTGGGCCCCAAGGCAGAGAGGACCTCGGCGGCCCGCGCACTCTGCCCCGCGGGCGGGCCCGAGGTGGCTCAGGATCCGATGCGAGGCCTCACAGCAGAGGTCACAGGTCCGAGGCGGGGGTTCATCCATGATCTTATGTTGCTCCCATCGTACTGCAGGACCACGTCCCAGACGTAATCTCGAACACCCAGAACGGTATCGAGCCAGTGTCGAACGAGTATCGCCTCCCAAGGGCCCGACACGTGAGAACTCTCAAGTTTCGGCACTTTCTCTTGGTGCTCGAAATTCTTTCTGGCGGTCAAGGCTGAAGTATGTTGGAACATCAGAACCATAATCACCGACTGAGGGATCGATCTTCGGGGACCTCGGCAGGCGGTGGATGTGCATATATCTGGCCCCCCCCCCCCCCGGGGCCATGATGCATCCATATACGCGGCCCCCTGGGGTACCAATGCGTCGGCTCCCCAGCAGGTGGATCTGGATACATCCCCGCCTCGCAGCAGAATCCCCGAGCCCTCCTCTCCAGAGGGCAAGGCTGGCGAATGAAGAATTGACAGGTTTTCGTTGCGCCTGGGTGCTGTGCTTTCAGGTGAGGGCGCGCGCTCGACGTCGTCATCCCGTTTTTTGTTAGTCTCGGTCGTCATCGTTTTCGTGACCGTCATCGTTGCCGCTGTAGTCGTCACCGTGGTCGTCATGATTTTGGTCGTAGTCACCGTCCTCGTTAACATTGTCGCGGCAGTTGTCGGCCCTGTGGCCGCCGTGTGATCGCAGTCACCGTTTCCACCAATGGGGATCGTTCTGTGTTTCTTCGGTCTGTACTACGTGCAAGCTGCGTGTGTTGGGCTCTTCGCGTCCACATTCCCACTGGCACGCGCGTGCTTAGCGACATTTCTCTGCAACATGTGAAGGCAGCTTCTCCAGCTGCTGTCAGAGACCGTGCGCGGGCAGGGAAGCCCAGCGGAAGCTCTCGATCTTCACGGCAGGTCAGAACGAGAAGTCAAAAAAGGTCTTCCGTTTGCATCTGCTCTGATGTGCATGCACGGGGTCGGGCTGGGGCATTTTTTTCGGA